GCGATACGAGCACGAAAGCCAGCCATCCACCGGAGCCTATGGAAACTTTAAGGGGCCGGTCTGATACATTAGGAAGTTGAAGGATATGATTTGATTCGAAGGGATATTTTTACAGGACAGCCGCATTGAAAACTTGTTGGGGATAGTTGAGACGGTACAAGGGCGACGGGTACGCCAGGCTCCTACTGGTACAAGAGTCATAAGGCTGGCCTAAACCCGATTTTGAACAGGAGCAGACCAGGATTGGCCAAGGGTTTCTACTCGAGGTTGTAGAAAGAGGCCGGTGGAGGATACGTTATTACCAACGTTTTACGACATCATGCTACATGTTCCCCAGACCGATGAGGAAGAACATCTGTCTGATTCTGGATTTGGTGGGATATCCTAATAGGCACCATCTACCTCATATTCACCTTGAAGGTGCTAAGATCTACTTCAGCCGCTAGGCCAACAAGCTTCTAGCTAGAAGAAACGCTTCCATATGTATGTGTGTATGTATCAAAGACATTTATGTAGGATCTACGCAAATTCAGATAAGTCACCAGGAGCATATGGCGGTACTTATCGCAAGGATTGAGGGATTATGTGAAGAACCTGCGAGACGAAAGTGCCGCAAGGAAAATCCACGAACAAAATTTAATCGGAGTCTGCAGAGAGGATAGTACTAGGAAACAGCTCAAGTTGAGATTGAGGATGAAGTAATTCCACTAGGTTCATTATGAACGTCAGGCTAGAATGAAGCTGAACGCGAAAGCGTGGTCATGAGCAGTCAGCGAGGAACTTGCTCTCGACACGGAGACCCGCTTGTCTTTGGTATTAGTGTAACCAGAGGACGGAGGCTCCATCTCAGTGATATTTACGAGGTACCGTTGAACAGCAATAGCCTATATCAACAAGACAGAATTCCACATAGAACGGTCTCAAGAGCCTAGAAAAGACAATAGAAGGTAGGGAGGCGTGACAAGCTTAGATGAGAGCAGAACAGTACCGTAAGTATCATCAGCCATACCAATTCCTACCCATTACAGGCTCGCCGTGCCTAGCTTATGCTTAGGAATACTCGTAACTAGGTAGTTTAGGCTTTGCTTGAAGTACTTTGAAGCACTTAGTAGAAGTCATCTCTTCTTGGCCGTATAATTAGTCCAGAGCTTAGACATGCGACGACTGACGTCCACTTGGGTTTGTCAGAGGGAAGTGTGACCTCAAAGCGCTCAAAGTGAGAATTAAAGAGTCAGTGATTTCGATGTAGACTCTTGTCCAATCACGTTTCTGACTCGATCAACAAAACCCATTGCCTGAAATTTCGCATTGTATTTCTCTTGCATGTTCGAACAGTCTTTTGTTCTACTTTATGGATCGCTTTGAGCATAAATTCGTCTTGAATTGACAATTTGATTCAGGAGACAACGCGCCACGTCAAATATTTTTGAAAGAAATGGATAAACAATGGGTTATGAAGAACAAAGGAACACAAAGTGAACGTGCAATTAATAACACGGAATAACACAAAAATTCAGGAGTGCCAGAAGAACTTCCGTCTATTTGGATAATATACTCAATCAAGAGTCAACGTTAGTCAAAGTTACCATCGCTGCCTTCACACTTGAAGTTTTGAATCAAATAGCAACTCTGACGTCAGCGGATTTACGAGTAACTTGAGAGGACGAAAGCCCGGTGAAAACGGACCCGCCCCCACCTGCCATCTCTTTGGTTGGACACATCTTAAGGCAGTCGTAAGGCAGCCTGAGGCAGCCATTGGTCCCACAAGCATTATTATTGTTCATGATTTTACTTGTGAAAGGTCGAAAATTTCAATAGCCCCACTATACGGCCCCACCAAGTCTCGCCCACCAGCGAAGCCACGGGCCAAAAGATACAGTGTAAGGAACTTTTTTATCGCCCCCGCGCAGATTCCTCCCACTTGTCGACTCCCAAACAACTCAACAACCCCGAAAAAAGTTTACGGAGGATAAATCTTTTTTCTTTTTCTTTCTCCTACTGCTCGAGTCGTGGGAAACAGGTCATTCTTCCTCTTCTGACGACTACCCACTCTTTCCTCTCGAACAGACGGTCACATTCGCTTGTGATCGTACCGTAATCGACAACTCGCGGTCGCTATCAATAATTCCAGCAGCGTAAGCGGGGTAGATTTCTTCAATTCACCGATTTCTTCCATCGCTTCGACCATCACCACCGCATTTTCCCTGGTCATAGATAAAAAGGATTAAAAAGCATCAAGATGGTTTCCGCTTCCAAGGAAAAGAGACTCGCCAAGAAGGCCGCCGAGGGCAAGGGCGAGAAGAAGACCCTCGTCTCCAGATCCAAGGCCGGCTCCAAGGCTGCATCCAAAAATGCGAGCGCGGCCGGTTCCGTCGCCGGCGACGACACTCCCCCCGATCTCGACGATGTCCCCGCAACCGACGACACCAAGATGGAGAAGGTCAAGGCATTGTCAGACCAAAAAGATAAGCACGGCTTATCCGACCGTATCACCACCGGTGTCTTGGCTTCCGTCGCAACCAGCAGGGACGTCAAGATTATCAGCGCCAGTTTAACCTTCCACGGTCGTGTTCTCCTAAACGAAACCAACCTTGAGTTGTCATTCGGACGCCGATACGGGTTACTGGGTGAAAACGGTTGCGGAAAGAGTACCCTCCTCAAGGCTATTGCTGCACGAGAGTATCCCATCCCCGACCACGTCGACATATACCTCCTGAACGAAGGTGCCCCGCCCTCCGACCTGGGTGCTCTGGAATGGGTTCTCAAGGAGGCTGAGAAGGAGATGGACCGTCTAGATAGGCTGGCAGAGCAGCTGCTCGAGGATGAGGGTCCCGACAGCCCTGTTCTGATGGATATTTATGAGGTATGTACACTCACGACGCGACTTTGTAGCTCATACTAACAGAATGCGACAGCACATGGATAAGATGGATCCCTCGACGTTCGCCACCCGTGCTTCCCTCATTCTAACAGGTCTCGGTTTCAACAAGGAAACCATCCACAAGAAGACGAAGGACATGTCTGGTGGTTGGCGTATGCGTGTTGCTCTTGCTAAGGCGCTATTCGTCAAGCCGACATTGCTACTTCTTGACGACCCGACTGCCCACTTGGATCTTGAGGCTTGCGTGTGGCTCGAAGAATACCTGAAGAAGTGGGAGCGAACCTTGATTCTAGTCTCCCACTCGCAGGATTTCTTGAACGGAGTGTGTACCAACATGATCGACATGCGCAAGCAACAGCTCATGTACTACGGTGGTAACTTCGACTCCTATGTCAAGACCCGCAAGGAACAGGAGACCAACCAGATGACGGCCTACAAGAAGCAACAAGAAGAAATCAAGCACATCAAGGAGTTTATTGCCAGCGCTGGTACCTACGCCAACTTAGTGCGACAGGCCAAGTCCCGACAGAAGATTCTCGACAAGATGATTGCGGATGGTCTTATCGAGGAAGTCAAGGAGGAGAGGGAGTTCAAGTTCAGATTCACCGACGTCGAAAAGCTACCTCCCCCCGTCCTGTCTTTCGACGATGTCACATTCTCGTACTCGGGCGAGGCAAAGGACGACCTCTACCGCAACATCGATCTTGGTTTCGATATGGACTCCCGAACGGCCCTTGTAGGTCCCAACGGTGTTGGCAAGAGTACCCTACTGCGCCTGATGACGGGCAAGCTCTCTCCGACTTCTGGATCCGTCCGTCGTCACACACATCTTAAGCTCGGTCTGTACTCTCAACACAGTGCTGAGCAACTCGACTTGACCAAGAGCGCTTTAGACTTCGTCCGCGACAAGTACCGGGAAAAGTCACAGGACTACCAGTATTGGCGTCAGACCCTTGGCAGATATGGTGTATCTGGTCCTGTCCAGACTGCTCTGATGGGCACCCTTTCTGAAGGTCAAAAGAGTCGAATTGTGTTCGCCCTCCTTGCCATTGATTCCCCTAACATGCTCCTCCTCGACGAACCCACAAACGGTCTCGATATCCCGACCATTGATGCCTTGGCAGACGCCATCGACCACTACAGTGGTGGTGTGATTGTCGTTTCCCACGATTTCAGGTAAGAATTCCCTTTTGATTGACCATTGTGCAACTAAATACTAACGTGTGGGACAGATTGCTCGACAAGATTGCCAAGCAAATTCTAGTGTGCGAGAACCGAACGATCAAGCCGTGGGACGGAACGATAGGAGAGTACAAGAACTACCTGCGGAAGAAGATGTTGGCTGCCGGTGCTGTCTAAGATACGCTCTCTTTTCATACATTAAACTTAGTCTGGTCGACCGTGCGGACGCCATTGGTCGCCCAGCAGATCTTCGTGCTATAGCTACAAGAGCAGGAAGGCATACATAGGGGTCGCGGCTCAGAGGTCTATAGATTGGGCAACGACGCATTAGAGCCGCAGCCTAGGATTTGAAAAGCTTTGCTTTAAAACGGGGCTAGGCAAACCGCGGGAAGCAGGCGCCAGCAATGCGCTGGGTTTTCGCGGACTGGAATAGATTAGATGAATTAAAAAATCTTCCTCGTGCGACTGGTTATGAGCGTGACTGTCTACATAAGCTTCACTTCTAAAGTTAGTTCTACCAGTATGAATAGTCTTTATTGTTATACACACATGCGCTATTCGGCCCTCAGATAGACATTAGTGATGATAATATCCTAGCAGTACGGCTCTCCCTCCGAAAACATCGACATCCTGTTCGTCGCGGAGTGATCACCCCTACATAGCTTAGGAGTACCCAGTATCTCTAGACTACTTCACTCATCACTGTCGTGATCATTCATTAGTATGATACTCAATCCCTTGTAGCCTCTATGCCTCACCACGAACTAGCCCGCTCCCAACCCATCTATTACCAAACCTCAACCCCTAGTGTACGGATCCATACCCACATCGCACGCAAACTCTTCTCACGCCTAACCCACCACCACCACCACCATACTATACCATGCATGCCCTGCTTGATAAAGCGCCGCAAACGATGCCATTTTCATCCGGCAAAGGCCGCTTGGCCCAATGGTTAAGGCGTCTGACTACGACCGAGCACGGCGTGTCTCTATCTCACGATATACACACAAAACGTTGCTTGATACAGCTAATCAGGAGATTCTGGGTTCGACTCCCAGGGTGGCCTCTTCTTTTACCTTTTTAACTACTAACTTAACCTCTTTGCGCGATTTTGCTGCGTGCGTGCTTGGTGGACGGATGCGCTGTGGAACTTGGGGGCGGGCTAGGGCTGCTGTTCGTTTTGCTAGGCTAGATAGATGGTAGGTAGATAGATCTCATGGAAAGCGAGACAAGTGAGACGCACGCAGGCTTGTTTGTATACATAGATGTCAATTCGCCTATCGCCTTTTGGCGAAAATACTTTAGACATTCGAAGCCGTCTGACATCTACAGAGTTGGCAAACCGGTGTGGGTAGACGGTGAAGGGATCAAAGCCAATGCGGTTGGGAGATGCTACTTGGAAGTTGGGCATAAAGATCCAAAAGTAACTGAGACCTTCGTCGTTGCCCAACATACAGAGCCTATTATATCTAATGCGGATATTAATGGATTAGTTCGCAGCAACTTGTGCTCCTTACTACAGTTAGATATGATATGATTATGATTTCAGTTGCATTTCACTAGCGGTACGCGTGAGTAGCGTGCGTATCCTGTAACAAATAACTGTGTACCTAAGGTAGACAGAGCAATTTCAGGCACAGCAATCATCATCACAACCATCACCATAGCTCAATTCAACTCCATTCAGCGCCTCAACAGGCATGCATTTGATTGATTGCTGACTTCGTCCTTCTATCGTAATCCTACAACGACAAAAAGGACTTTTAGCCCTCGAAGAAACTTGCTTGGTAACAAAGCAATCCGGTTTTCCCTCGGTTTTGATTTTGCGAAGTCTAGTCGCCTAGTGCGACAATTTTTAGGCCACCCCCTTTCTCTCTCACTCACTCCCCCTTTGCGAAAATGACAATTAGCTAGCTCTATGAATGTCTGTGTTCGTTCCCACCAAGAGCCCGTCTCTGCATGTAAAGTCGATGCCAATAGTAACGCCACGATCCCTCTTATTTTGTACAAGGTCCTTAACTTCTGTTGTGAGAAGTGCTATTCACGACCTGATGGTAGTGTAACTGATAATCCTTGCTAATGGATTATATATCGATCTCGCCGTCAGCGATGGCAAGTCGCTGCTTGGTTGTTTTGGCTTTCTTGCTGCCTCCTTTACGCTTCTTGGCGGCTTTCGTATCTCCGGCCTCCACGGGAGTAGCAGTGCCAGAAGGTTTGTTGCCATCATCGAAATGACCCTCACCTGTGACGGCACGGTTAGCATCCATGTTTGTTTCACCAGATCTATTCAATCCATGTAGATGACTCACCCTCATGGTACATCTCATCCAAGCTAACTGCCTCCCGCTTTCTTTTATTGCCACGCTTTTTGTTCTGCTTGTCCAGCTCACCGCTTTCGAGCAATTCCTTCTCGCGTTGTTCGATGAGCTCGGCTTGCTCGTCGTCGGCAAGCCACATGGCAATATCGCGGTTGCGGTTCTCGGGCGGGCGACGACCGCTAAAGTCGACACCGCGGGCCCCACCTCCCTGGATGACAACTCGTTGGACTTCCTCCTTCTGCATTGCACGCTTACGAATACGTTCTTCAATGGTGCCGCGCGTGATAAGACGGTAGACTGTGACCTGCTTCGTCTGGCCGAGACGGTGGGCACGATCCATAGCCTGAGAGTCAATGGTAGGGTTCCAATCGCTGTCGTAGAAGATGACGGTATCGGCGGATGTAAGATTGATACCGAGACCACCGGCACGAGTCGAAAGCAAGAAAACGAAGATTTCGGGTCGGGTCTGGAAGTCGTGAACAGTGTCGCGTCGGTCCTCCAGCTTCGTCGAACCGTCCAGCCGACAGTACTTGTAGTTGCGGTAAGTAAGATATTCCTCCATGAGGTCAATCATTCTCGTCATCTGGAAGTACAGCAGTACACGGTGGCCTTCCTCCTTCAGCTTGAATAATAGCTGGTCGAGTTTAGCAAGTTTTCCGCTGTCAGTGACGAAACGACGCATGCTCGGGACGGTGATATTTGTGAATCGTCGCTTCTCACCATCCGGCTGGGGTAGCATCGCGGGTGGTGGATAGCGCTCGATCGGAACCTTCTGCAACACCAGACTCTTCTCTTCAATCAAGTTAGGCCCATACAGGGTCTTCCGAATTGGCATGTTGAACAGCGTGTCCTCGCGTTCGGCAATTGGGGCTCGGGTACCCTCGCATGAGACCTCAATGGGAGGAGCGGAAGCTCCAGGCAAAGCCGCTTGTTCAAGTCGACCTAGACCAGAATCCCTCCACGCTCCCTTGGAAATATTCATGAGATTATCGAGCACACCTCCGTTTGTTATCTCAGCCAGGGGTTTGCGGTCGCCTCGAGCGGCGATCTGGAACAACGCATGAGCGGGCGTATAGTTCTTTTCGCCTTCCTCATCGTATATCACGTTCATTCGGCCAAGTCGATTCTGCTTCTTGACTAGGTCTGTAGCTCGCGAGAAGAGATCTTGATGAGTGGCTTTGTAGGCCTCTTCGGGGCTGACATCAGCGAATCGAAGGAAGGAGAATGCTTCGTTCCCGGATGTGCTTTCGCGTATGTTCTCCGGGGTCCAAATATTCATCAGATGGTTCAGGTACTTGTTCCTAAAGCCAGCCTTTTCATTGTCCTTCCCAGTTTTGTGCAATCGGCCACCTTCTGTCCAGATAAGGCGTGGCAAGTTGTACTCGATGAGATTTCGAGTTGAGTAGCCGACCGAGACGTTATTTCCCTCGCGGACGAATGAAGCAGTCTCGGCAAAGTAGCCGGTGAAGAAGGGACTCGTCGTGTCTGCACGCTCAAATAGGTCAGGATGATTACACACTTTGCGGAACTGCATAACAAGATTCATCAGTGTGCCAGAATCTTGATCATCTCCAAGCGTGGCCTTCTCTATAAGGTCCATGATGCTGATCTGATTTCGCAAGTTCCTGTAGTAAGCGCGCTGTCGGTAAGTAAGCTCGCAGAACACGTCGAGTTCAATCTTGTCACCAAGCTCCTTCTGTACATGCTTCTTGACACGGCGCAACATGAACGGTTTGAGGATCAAATGCAGCCGCCTAAGCTGGTCCTCATTAAGGGTCGTGTTGCTTTGGGCGTGAGATTCGATATCCTTGGAAAACCATTCGCTAAATTCGTCATGTGAATCGAATAAGGAAGGCATGATGAAATGTAGAAGAGCCCAGAGTTCTTGCATGTTGTTTTGAATGGGAGTACCCGTGAGAAGAAGTCGATTACGGCAGTGGAAGCCAAGTAGGCACTTCCAACGGGAACTTTGGGAGCTCTTGATAGCTTGCGCCTCATCGAGAATCATGTACTGCCAACGCATCTTCTGGAAGTAAGCAACGTCTGAGACCACGAGTTGGTAGGATGTGACCAGGACGTGGAAAGGAGCATCCTTCCGGTAAGTGTTGTGCTTGCGATCCCAGAATTTACGCAGCACCTTTCGATCGTTGGCGGTACCCCAGTACGGCAGGACCTTGAATTCGGGGACGAATTTTGCGATCTCCTGCTGCCAGTTGTGGAGAGTCGAAGCCGGCGCGACTACAAGGTAAGGGCCCCAGATGTCGTGAACCTCGGCGAGGTAGGCCATGACGGAGATAGACTGGACCGTCTTTCCGAGACCCATTTCGTCAGCTAGAATACCGTTGATGCCCTGTTCGTAAAGGTTGGCGAGCCAATTCAGGCCCTTCAACTGGTACTCCTTGAGTTGGCAGTTTAGCAACTTCGGCTGCTCGACCGTTACATCGTCAAGACCGGCCGGGTTTTGGAAGTTCATCTCGCCATCTTCGTCCATATCGTCGTCGGTCTTGTTGAAGCTTCGTGCTTTCTGCTGCGCTTTTGCAATGGCGCTCTGAGCATTTGCCATAGCGGCTTGTCTCAATGTCTCCTCATCCTCAGCGTCGAAGTTCAGCTGGCTGAAATCTGTAACCTTTCCGGCAGGTGCGTTTGTCGGTTCGTCGATATCAACATTACTCGGCTTGGCCACGGCGTTGGCATCTGGTGCGATATCCGGGTTATCAGTACTACGCTCCACTTCGTCCGTCTTGATCTTCTTGCCGATAAAGTGAGAGTACAGTTCGGTCTGCGAGATCAAGAAGTTGAGCTTTCTCTTCTGGCGCGCAGCTTCACGATCAGCTTCTTCCTTGCGGGCGTTCTCAAGCTCTTGTCTTTCTGCCGCCTTGCGTAAATCGCGTTCTTCACGTTCGTTGCGTTTCCAGAAGCTCATCATGTCACGCATACAACGTTTGGCACGGGCTTGAAGGTCCTTTGTTCCCTTGTTGGTACGAGCTTGCCATCGTTTAGCCTCCTTCGAAGCTAGTATAGCAGTCTTCTTAAGGTTGGAAGCCTTAGTAGCATAAGAGTCGCAAGCCAACTTGTACGTTTTCGGAACATCCTTGCGTGCGAGGTCACGCCAGATCTGATCATAGATCTGGTTGTAGCCTTTGGACTGGAACTTGGACTCAAGAGGATTAGGCGGAGGTTCTTCAACCGACTTCTCCTTCTCCTTTGGCTCCTTTGCAGCAGCGTCCTTAGCTTCCTTGTCCTTCTCTTTCGGTTCCTTGGACGAGCCCTTGTTCAGCTTGATGCGGATCTTAGCTTCTTCCTTCGTGGGTAACTCCTCGCCTGCATCAAGAGCAGCTTGAGCAGCGATGGCTGAATCCTTCTCTGCCTGCTTCTGCTCCTTAGACTTCTTCGGGCGATTACCGCTGCGACCTTTGCCCTTGGCCTTGTTGCCGGCTTCCAGTTCCATAGCCTGGAATGTCGACATAGTACCACCCTCCAGGTTCAGCTCAAGGGGTGCTAAGTTGCGCGCCGGGCCCTTGATACCCTTTTGCAAGATCAACTTAGTCTGCTGTGCCTTCTTGTTGGCACGTTCCGCATCCCGTAGGTATTTCGCGCGTTCAGCGTCATCTTCGGCAGCGAGTGCCTTTGCCAAGGCAGCTTCCTTCTGCTCGATTGTGACTTGCATAGACTTTTCCCTACGTCGCTTTCGTTGCATGTCCTTCTTGCGCTCCTTCTCGGCGAAAATCTCGCGCTCTCGGACCTCTTG